ATATATATATATATATATATATATATATATATATGTATGTATATATATATATATATATATATATATATATATATATATATATATATATATATATATATATATATATATATATATATATATATATATATATATACATATATGTATATATAGCATATTAATGTTTTAGACAGATACTCTTTATAGCACATGAACCACGTCAAGGTTTTCTCCCAGTAGACACCAAACCAAAAAAAGACGTCTTTTGAACGTCTAAAAGACGTCCGAAACATTCAAAAGACGTTCAAAAGACGTTCAAAACGTGTATAAGACGTTTAAAAAACGTCTTTTTTACGTCCGTGTCCACTGGGTTCCTACTCACGTGTCAAGGTTTTCATACAAAACAATTGAAAGCATTTGACAGAAAGTTCTACAATTAATTAGTAAACTGTTTTTCCTCGTATATTTTCATTTTTTGGAACAACAATAAATACTATTGAAAAAATATAGAGTTTTCAAACACGCACAATTTTTTTTAAAGAGTATGTTTTGATTTAAAATGTCTTACTGTTTAAAAATATTTTTTTAGGAATAATAATGTGGTTAAAATTAAAAAGAACTAATAGGCCCTTGATAGTAACTTTCCTTGTGACGGCTTAAAGATAAAGGCACTCAGTACCAGTGCCTTTAGCTTGAGGCCCTGTATTTGAGGGAGCCCACATTTAATAAAGAAAACATTTTTAAGGCTCTGTTCATTAATAAACAAAATCTAAAAATCCAGCTAGTTATTTATTAAACAATAATTCATACTTAAAAAATAATAACTAATATAAAACATTCCTTGGCAATTATATAAGAAAACATATTAATAGAAATTTTGTTTTGTTTTATCTTATTGATATTACAATGACTTTGCAAACACCAAACATTTTTTTAACGGAAAAACAAAAAATTAAGTGAGTAAAGAAAATATATTTAATAAAATAGTTATAAAGTTCGATTATGAAAAAATATGTAAGTTTCAAGTCATCAGTTACTTATTTAAATAATTAAGATTAGCTAATTAAGAAGTTAATCGACGAAGCTGAAGTTTTTTTTTATGCATATTTTTTAAATTTGGATTTAATGTTTTTTGCTTCTAATATCGAAATTTAGTTTTTGTTGTCAGTTTTAGGTTTTGGCATTTATGTTTTATTGCGCATTAATGTCTTAAAGAATATTTTGAATAACTCACTTAATGTGGACATGCATCTTCCGCTCAAATATCAGAAATTTCGCGTTGAAAGCTTTATTTTAGCGATTGATCACTATGCGTTTGCTCTTAACCGGATAATTAGCATCTATGACCATTTATTATCTCTCTTTGACTTCTTCTCTAAAATGCAGAATTTTATGATGCAGATGCAGGTTTCTTCTCTATGAAATAATAATAGCTCTGTAATAACCTTGTGCTGATGATTATAAACTGCTTGACGAAAAGATTGTTTCCTAAATTAAAATTAACTGGATACCTCAATGCTTCAAGAAAGGCTCTTTAACCAGGCTTTTATGAGTATTTTTTTTTGTTCTTTTTATTACATTTTAAATAAGCATTTTGTTACAATATTTAAAATACAAATATATAATAATAAAAAAATAAGTATATAATGATCGTCATTAAAATATAAAAGAACGTGGGGAGTCGTAGAAGACCAAACGTTATTTTCGTCAAGTATCGCTTAGAAATGTTAATGTTAAAATTTATAACATATATACAAGATAAAAATAAGTTAACAAAGTAAGAAACTTAAAATATTCCGTTATAAATACAAGATGCATTATAGGGTAGATTAGGCTAACTTGAGCACCTTAAGGGAAAATTTGAATATTTTCAAAAATAATTATGCTGGATTCAAAAATTTTGCGAATAAACAATTTTTAGGGATTCTTACTCATGATCCACTTAGATATTTAGGCACCCGAAACTTTTTCTTAAAAACACAGAGGTTTTAAAAAAGTTGCAAAAGTGCTCATATTACCCAGACCACTTGGTAATATGAGCACTTTATATTAGCTCAAAAAAATAACATTAAGTGAAAAAAATACCAACCTGACAATTAGAACTAATTTTTGGAATATAAATTCGTTATTAACAAAACTTATCATTAAAAAACAAAATTTTAGGCATTTTTTGTTGAAACAATACTATGTTTTCGTAAATATAATACTGTTGAAACACAACTATATTTTCCGCAAGAAAAAAAATTAGTTAGTTATTTTTTCAATTTTATTAAGCTCAAATCTTTGAACGCGATAACAATTCAAATTTTTTTATTATAAATTACAGAAAAATATTTAGTATTGTTTAATTATTAAAATCTTTTACTATATTTTGTTTTTATTCAAAAAGTAATTAAAACCACTGCTATTTTAGGACTTTAAATTAGGTGATTTCAATGAAAAACACTGGGTAATTTGAGCATGCTCATATTACACAAAAAATGATATCTTTAAATAAAGTCAAAACTAAATGTATCTATGCATTGTTTTTTAAACAACAATGAATTGGATTCTTAGTTAACTATTTTTCTTTATGAAAAAATTAATTTTATTATTTTAACACCAAAATGTTGCGCCACAGATTTATTTATGTGTGATGATATTATTTTAAAAACGCAAAATATTTAACAGAATTTCAATTAGATAATATTCGCTAATTACTGCATATAGATTTACGCTAATTGTATTGATTCCTGTTATCACCACATAAAGTCGATTCAAAAAATACAAAGCAACTTTAACTTCACTGCTTACATTTAAAATCTTTAAGTATACTCATAATACCAAGGTGCTCATATTACCCTAATCTACCCTATCTACTATATTTGTATTTTATTTTTTTATTTTTATTTTTTTATAATTTTTGCCGTAGAAAGTTACAATTTAATAAACAATAATCCTCATTATTAACGGTATCATAACGTATACTGTCTTCAGAAATTACATGCTATTTCAAAATACGTAATTTGTGAACAATCCCTAAACTCAGAGGCAATTTAAGGGGAGTGGGGGTGGAGGTGGGGAGAGGGGGTATAACACCTTACCCTCTAAATAAGGTGATTTTTAGGTTATAGTCGGTATTTTCACGAATTTAGTCGGCTAGTTGAGTATTTGACACAATTCAGTCGGGTGAATTTTAGTCTTGAAGACCTTTTTTTAAATATATTTGCAAAAAACCAATCTGAAGTAATTCCACCTCCTACTTCTAAAAAATGCTTAAAAACCAATATATAAAATTAAAAACAAGAAAATAGTACAAAAAGTCCTTTTACTAACACATTTAAGCAAACTGTTGATATAAAATTAAAATTTTAACAAAAAACAAAACAAAAGTAAAATAATTTTTGAAAATTTTACATTTGTACAAATCGGGGCAATTCCACCCGTTTTCAAAAAAAAATTTAAATGTATTTTAATTTTAATATAAATTTTTGCATGAAATAATGTAAACACGATAGATAATAATTAAAAACAAATTTTGAACCAAAATGTCCTGAAAATGATTATATTCATAAATAAACATAAAGGATTGCTGAGATAAACATAAAGGATTGCTGAGAAAGCATTTTATGTTAGTGGGGAATGCATCGCCTACAATAAAAGTCAGAGTTATTTTGATTTGGTTGAAATTATGAATAACTATATATTTAATACTAAATACAGATGTTATTACTACATAATTAACATGTTGCTTAAGGTTATTTACAGGCAAAGGTTCAAATTTTGTAATTAAAAATTTCACCATTTAGAGGTTTGGAATTTCCTAGAGGTACTATTTTATTTATGAAATGTTTATACAAATTTAATGTTTAGCTTAAATGCACTTGAAAAAAAAAGAAATACAAATACACATCCCAGCGGGCATTTTTTTTTAAAAGTTATTTTCTAAATGTATTTTAAATGTCTTTTAAACGTCTTTTACACATTCTTATGTAAAGAACGTTTAAAAGACGTTTAAAAAACGTTTAAAAGACATTTAGAACGTAACTTTTAAAAACAAATGCCCGTTGGGATTAAACACATCCATAAAATAAATGATGAAATATAATCAAGGAAAATGTTTTTTTAAATATATTCTAAAATACATTTATGGTACTTACATTAAAGATGTTTTTGGATTTCCAAAAAAAGTCTTGTAAACAAATTTCTAAAGCAGTATGGATACAGGAAGCATATACTTTGAGAGAAACAGGAAGTTGGCAATCAAAAACATGAATTAAAGGTGGTTTAAATTTTTTAGTTCATTTGTATTGTTCCATTTGTTTTTTAAGGGGTGGAACTACCCCGAGGGCGGAATTACCCCAATCTACCCTACTTTTAAGGGATTCACCGCCTCCCCTCCCCCATTTTATTCTGTGTAAACTATTCACCGTTGTGATTCCGAAAATAAAATTAAAAAAGTCCCAAAAGCAAGTTTTCTTTTAGAAGGTATAAGTAGCCCGGTGGGAAATGAGCTAGCGACTAGCTAGCTTTTTAGCGATTTTCAGGCGATTTTATTTTATTTTATTCTTTACTAATGTCTCTAACATCTTTAAAAATTCGATTTTTAGTGTTGAGTCTATTATAATTATGAGAATAATTGAACTTTAAACATTGCGATTTTGTAGCGATGTGTCGCTAGCTACATATAGTAGTTTTGTAGCTAGCAACAAAATATCTACAAATCTATAGCTGATTGATAGCTACATACCAAAAATTTTTTGATGGCGATTTTATTACGATATGGCGGTAGCTACAACAGCCTGCGAGTCTTTAGCTTATTAAGTTAGCTGTCCTCATAGTCAAATTGCTGTCTTTATCTTTACAAATATCTATAGCTTTTCGCTAACTTAAAAAAGCTAGCGATCCTCGTGGCCAAATCGCTGTCTTTATCGTAACGATTATAGCTATCTATTCGCTAGCCGATTTCCCACCGGGAGGTAACTAGTTTATAAAGCACAAAAAAAAATATTTCGCCGTTTCCAGATTTATCTGTTTTTATTTCCAGATTTATATTTTGTCAACTGAGAATCGCGCACTAAAATTCCTCTTTTGAATGGCGTAGCGACTCTCACACAAGGAGAAAAATATATTAAAATGGTGTTTTCTTTGATTATTTAAGTATATAATATGAGTTTTAAACAAAATAAAGCTGATTCTCATCTTGCTGCCAAAACATTTAAAATTATTATAATCGGTACGCTTTTTTGCTAACTTTCGTTTAGAAAAGTATTATTGGTTACTTGCCTTTAAGAGTTTATTTTGGTTTAAATATTAGGCATTGATATAAATAGTTGTTTTAAAATCATCTCATTAGTTAAATAAGCTGAAATAACTTTTACAATTTAATTTTTATAATAATTTTTTTTTTACATACATTTTTGCTAAGGTTTTACTTATCTTTGGATAAATTTCACGCCAAGACAACCATTTTTTTTTTAAATGTAACTTTATGTTTTTGGACTTTCTTTGTGTTTCAATCATAGTTAGTTCTTAAATATACTATAAAAGATGATAAATTTAAAAGTTCTTTATATAAAATTTGCAACAAGTAAGTCTAGTCACTAGTAGAACAAGTAAGTCTAGTCACTAGTAGAACATATTTAGTTGTAAATGCCTGAGAGAAAAGTGATTGATTATATTAGAAAAAGTGTTATTGTAAAAGTTGTAATATTTTGAGCAGATGTTCAGTATTAAATCAAGTTATTAAGAGAAGAAAGTAGGAACAGTATATCGTTTTACTACTAAACTGATTTTTCTGCTTTTTCTATGTTAGTTTTATTTTAGAACCCAGCCAAAATCATGACAAAATTATACACATTTTGTTATTATTATATATTTTGGTAAAAATAATCGTTTTAATTTCAATTTAATTTAAAAGGTTTTTATTAAAATAATTCGTTTCTAGTTATTTCAATTTATATTGTTTATTTAAGTCACTCATTTTATATTCAATTTAGTGATGTTATTTATTTTACTTTTAGTTTATATTTATTTTAATTTTATATGGTTTATTGAAATCATTTTGTTTATATTTTAATTAAGTGTATACGGTGGAGCTCAGCTGTTTGTTTTATATTTTGCTAATAAATAATTGAATTTAATTAATATCCTTTATTAAAAATATTCTTTTTACATTCAATTTACTTTATACAGTTTAGTTAAAATATTTGTTTTTTATATTTAATTTTTATTTTTAATTAATACAGTGTGGTCTAATTCTTTAGTCTAAAATTAGTTTATGTTTAATTTGAATGCTTCAGGCTCATAGTAAATTGATACATTTGGAAAGATAGGTAATACATCTTCAACCAAAACTTCCCTTTTACAATAAAAAAACAGTAGAACTTTTTCATGTGTTTAAGTAATAATTTAGATTAATAAATGGATAACACAGAATTAATAAATGGATAGCACAGAATTAATTAAAGTAAGGGTATAAAATATATCAGTGTTAAATAAAATCTAATTCACATGTACAGGAAAAAATCTTAAAAAGTCATAATTCAAATCTTGATACTCCTTACTTTTAGATTTGTTTTGTCCTTGGTTTATTGATTTAACTCTTTCAAAAAAATTTCTTACATTTCTTTAAATAGAATTTCTTTGAAAAATAGGAAGGCCTAAATTTACTCTATTTCACAAAGTTCTAAAGGAAATCTCAAACTCTTCTAATATACTCTGTTAAGACATATTTTGGTAGTTATTTTCAGTGTAGTAATAAAAACTAAATCATTTGTAGGTACACATAGGGTGGGAGAAGTCATCCATTCAATGACTCCTCCCATCCTCTGTGTACCTACAAATTATTTATTACAATATCAACCCTCTATACCCCCAAGGCATAAATTTTATTTAATATTTAAATACTTTAAATACTCAAGTATGCATCACAAATCTTGGCAGCACACTTTTATTTTTAATTTGGGAGAGCCAAACCTTGCACAAGATGTTCCATTGTTGTTTTTTTTTACATTTTTGTAAGTGCCATATTTTGCATATTTATGTAATAATTTTTATAAGTTATTTAATAACATTATGTTAAAACAGGAGATGCAAATGTTGGAAAAACATGCTTAACAATGCGGATATGTAATGGTACATTTCCACAGAAGACAGAATCTACTATTGGAGTTGATTTTAAAGAAAAAATTGTGAAAGTTCAAGATGAGCTTATAAAAGTACTCAATTTTTAAATTTTTCAAAAAATTTATTTGTTGTATTCTTATAATAAATAATAATCTCATTATAGATATTTTGTAACAAAAATAAAAATCGTTAAAATCGATAATCTTTTAATTATATTATCTATGTAAAATTACTGTAAATTTATAAAAAAGTTTTGAAGTATGAAATGTACCATCTATATAATATTGCTTTATGTGTAGAGTTGTATAAAAGTTTTAGGTATCAAGCATACCATCTATATAATATTGCTTTACGGTTAGAGTTGAATAGAAGTTTTGAAGTATCAAACATGAAACCTATATAATATCGTTTTATGTGTAGAGTTGTATAGAAGTTTTAAAGTATTATTCATAAAGTTTAGTTAAGTTGTTGAAATCATAGATATATAAACTTCTGGATACGATGTAGGCAGAAAACCCTGGCAAATTTTACTATGATGACATTGAGTGAGGCAGAAAAAACAAAATTAGTTAAGAACAGTATTTTATTCACATATTTACTTTTTAAATTTCACTTTCAAGTTGTATTTTGCATTTCATAAATTATAAAGTTATTTTAGGGACATTTAAAATTCATAAATAATTTTTAAATATAAAGTTAATTTTAGTTAAGCTAAATAAACTTACCCAAGATTCTGCATAAAAAGATTTTTCAAATTGTAAAAATAAAATTTTTTCAAAAACTCTGCAATACAAGTAATAATTTTATTAAAATTATTACTTGTATGTGTGCTACAAACTAACTCAGTATATAAATCGTATATGGTTTTATATTGCAAGATTTATATGGAGTTCATAGAAGGCCTACTTTAAGTATAAAAATATACATCTATATTATGTATGTAGAATATACATATATATTTATGTATAATATATGTGTTTGTGTACTATGTGCTTAAAGAATTGGTATTATTATTGAAATGGTCAATTTATATGGTGCTTTTGGATGTACAGATAAATCTGCTGAAGGGATCTGAAGAAGTTTTCATAGGTACGAATATAGCTCATAAATAAACTATATATATTTATATTGTACTATTAAGTAAATGGTATTATTGTATTATTGTACAAGTATTAATGTACTCTAATTATATTTACTGTTTATGCTATTTTTAAAAAGATTTATATTTGTATTATATTATTATATTATATGTATTATATTTCAAACATTCAAACAGATTTTAGAATATAAGCGATGTATGTATAATGAATCTAAGTTATTCATTATACGTACATATTTATTATTTTTAAATAGATATCCCTTGAAACTAGATAAAAGAGTGACAAAACAAAATAATCAGGTTACTGTTTTTTAGAAAAAGCAAAATATCTGGTTACCGTTTAAAAAAACATTTGAGACCAAATTTTATACCAATGATTTTTATTTTTTCATTTTCAAATCAATTTTTGGTACTTAAAATTGGCCATAAGAGGCCAAGTCTTGTGAAAAGTCTTGTGGGTACTTTTAATGATTAGTAATATTCAGAAAGCATTCACTAAAAAAATTCTCAAAAAAATGTAATGAAGAAAAAGCACAAGTGAAATGTATGCAATTTTGAAGAAAAAATAATTAATACTGAAAAAAGACTTATCTAAGGGATTGCATAGAAAGTGATTCAGACAATCTGCAAACTGGCATCAAGAAGTTATTTTTTGTATTGAATGCTTAAAAATTACAAAGAAAACTTATTAGATGTATAATGCAACATCAACAATGTTTCATCAACTTTTGCATTAACATCACATTATTATTCAGCAATAGTATAAGATTATTTTAATCATCTAATTGTCTAAATCATCTTAATTTTCTCTAATGTATCTTAATAAAACCATTCACTATTCCTAATCTCTGTCTCAGATCTTTTCTTATCTTTTAGAATGACACACATCTATCTGATCATATTGTAAAAATGTATTCATTTCAAACAACATCTACATATAAAAAGCTGCAAAATCCATAGATACAAGTAATTTAAGAAAAGAATAGGTTATTTATAACAAAGTAATATTTTGCTAATAATAATATTCTGCTAATCAAATTAATAGTGATTTTGCTTTTTACACTCGTTACAAATTGATTCCTTAAACTGAATCTACAGTTATAAGTACATATAATTGTACTAAAAGTTGGTAACCTTATTTCTAAAAAGATGACATACACTGCAATACTTTTCATATATATATATATATATATATATATATATATATATATATATATATATATATATATATATATATATATATATATATATATATATATATATATATATATATATATATATATATATATATATATATATATATATATATATATGTGAAAAGTATCGCAGTGTATGTCATGTGTTTAGAAATAAGAAATATATATATTCATACATACATACATATATGTATATTATATATATATATATATATATATATATATATATATATATATATATATATATATATATATATATATATATATATGTATTTATGTGTGTATATATATATATATATATATATATATATATATATATATATATATATATATATATATATATATATATATCAACCTTTAGAATTAGGGTCGGCTAACAGCCGACCTGATAGTGTTTGAGGTCGGCAAAAATTGCCGACCTCGTTATATATATATATATATTCAAAATTTCTTTTAAGCACAAAAAATGTAAATATTTTAATAAGAGAAGCATTTTAATTAATAAAATCATTTTATTAATTTTAAACAATACAACAATACATGTTTCGACTATCACTAGTCATCTTCAGTTGAATTTAAATTTGTTTAAATACCTATATGGGGTATTTTTACAATACCAATACAAAATGTAATTATCTGTGTACAAACTATTAATTTTATTACAAAAGTATGACAAAATCTATTATAAGAATAACAAGTCATACTAAAATAACAAATAGGAAGTGACGAAAAAATAAGTTGATAAAAATTTAGATAGAAAGTAATGACTAAACAGGAAATGTCATTTGGACAAGTCAACCATGTCCAAATGACACTTTCTGTCAGTTGGACATGCTTTCTATTAATTTATTATTTATGTAAATTATTTATGTATGTATGTACACACACACACATATATGCATGTATGTATATATGTATGTATGCATGTATATACATACATATATGCGTTAATATTTTAATATAATTATGCATATATGTATTTATATACATACATACTATTAATATGATATTAAGTGCATGTACATACATTCACTTGTATTTAAACATTTAAATATTTAACGTTTTGCCTCACTCTACGTCACTTTTTCAACGGAAGATTGCCTTCAAAAAAATTTTTTAAATTACTAGAATGAACATGCCTATCCAGTAATTTATATATCTATGGTTAAAAATTTAAGATTATAAGTTCTATCTTGAAAAGTTTGATTTTTTTATTTGGTTTATTTTATTATAAAAAAAAAAGAATTATGGCTTAAGGTTTCATAGTGTAAAGAGCTGGGTTTTTCTTTTCAAGTCTATACTTATAATAAATTAAATTATTAAATAATAATAAAACTATTAAATAATAGTTAATATTTTAATAAGTAATATAAACTTAAATCTATTGATTTTCGCAGCACTTATTCATAATTTTTTTTTTTTTTTCTTATTTGAAATAGCTTCAGTTCTGGGACTCCGCCGGTCAAGAAAGGTTTCGCCACTCGCTCATTCCGCATTATTACCGTAATGTTCATGCTGTTGTATTTGTTTATGATGTTACAAAAAAATCATCTTTTCTAAATTTATCTAAATGGTTGGAAGAGTTTCAGGTTAATGTGAACGCTAATTTAGATATTCCTCGGGTTATTATTGGAAACAAATGTGACCTTCATGCTAACAGGGAAGTATCTTCTTCTGAAGCTAATATGGTAGCTTCAAATTTTGGCATTGAATTGTGGGAAACGTCTGCAAAAAGTGAGTTTGAAGTTGAAAGAGTTGAACAAATATTCCAGAATTTAGCTGAAACTTTGAAGTTTAAATCAGCCACGGTCGAATTTCCTCCCTCCATGTCGAGAGTAAATACCATAGAACAAAGTAATGGGCTAAAATTAACAAGTTCTTCCTATGACCTTTCAAGTTATAAAAATACTAGCAAGTATATTCAAGAAAAAAAGCAAAAAAAATGTTGTGGCAGCTAGCATATATTTTAAAGCATTTTAAAATTCCTTTCACAAAAAAAAACTATTTTTTTCACTCAATATAATATAAATATGTATATACACACACACACACTCCTTATTTTCTAACGAGTTTAATAATTAGTTTTCATATTTTTTGCGAAAATTTTATATCATATTTATAATAAAATAAATTTTTATAATATATTTTACATTAAGGAAATAAAACATTTTGTAACAAAAAAAGTCCGTTAACGTAACGAGTCTTTTTTATTTTTTGTTTTTGTTTTACTTTTTCCCGGGAATCACTTTCGAAGCGAAATATCTAAAAGTAACACTTGTACTATTAGCATCGCCATTTTTTGATATAACCACTAAACAACAGGGCCGACGACACGGGTTTCGAAGTGGGGGAGGGCACAATTGTCATTTCGTAAAAAAAGTCGTCTATATCTAGAATTTTCTTGAAATTGCCCCCCTGGACCTCCCGGTGTCGTTGGCCCTGAACAAAAAAAGCAAAAGTATTAAATTTTTTTATTTTGTATATTTTTTTAGTGGCATAGATCTAAATTTCTTATTATATGTTCAAAAAAACATTTATATTGATCATCACCAATCTAACAGTAAAAAATTCTCTTATATAAACTATACGAATATTTTAGCTCTTCTTTTAATTTATTAGTATTTGTGTAACATTTATGCACTCTTCGAATATTTTTTCTCTGTTGCATAACAATATTAAGAGACATTACTCATAAGAATTTGTTTACATAAAACCTCGGAACAGTCTTTAAAATCTTTAAAAATCCAGTTGAACTGTGATTAAAATTGATAACTGTAGAATCTAAATCTAACTGAACAGTGGTTTAACAAACTATGATATCTTTCGGTTATTGTTTTCAAATCATTACACTTAGTGACTCATTGTTGTACCATTTATTAAATTCATTAAAAACCTTTTATTAAGTTTTTAGAAAATACCTTTGAGTGGTCAGACGTTCCTGTTACATAAATCAATTTTTTTTATATAACTTATAACTCTAAAGAAAAATTTAATAAATAACAGAAAGGTATTACAAAGCTCTATTTTTTCAATCATTGTAAAAATAATTATATAAAAAAAAAATTTCACATGACACGGCGATTTTTATTTATTGATTTTCTCCCACTTTCTATGATTTATGAAATTTTCAGATACGGATGTAACGAAAACAATTTATTTTATTTTTACGCGCCAAGTAATTTAATTTTCTCAGAATAACCTATTAAAAAATTACTTTAATGTTAGGGCAGGGCCGACAACACCGGGGGCCCCGGTGTTGTCGGCCCTGCCCCCATTCAATGATAAAGATGCAACTTTTTATAAAAAATTGCGGACGTTTTGGACCAAATTTCGAATAACTTAAAATATGGGAATTGTTCCATCATTTTATCTAGCAAACCAAAGTGTCCTTGCTTTGTACTCAATGGGAATGATGTCTGGTGTGTGTTTGAGTTCTGGTTTTTATAATACTCAAGCTATTCCCATTTAAGAAGGACATACAATTCCACATGGTATATCTCAACTTGATATAGGTGGAGAGCAAGTAACAAACTATCTGGGAAGATTGTTACAACAAGCTATGGGAATTTTTAAGGCAAAAAAATCGCGAAATGAGTTAACTATAAAAATGCTCAACTATAATAAAGAAAGATAAAAAGAAGACATCAAAACCAGTTATCTGAATCAAATAAACAATGATTATAATTTTTTTTTTTTTTTTGTAAATTTATTTGCCTTCAATAAAAGATATTACAATTACAGAATAGCTTTAATCGCGACGTTAGAATTATCTTGTTCTATCTTCACTTTCTGAAATAAATTGAGTTAATGATAGTGTTGTGTTCCTCAAAATAATGTCTTTCTACTGAATTGAAATCTAAGTTATAAGTAAAAAAGTTGCGGAAAAAACATAAGTTTATACGCCGTCTCCAAAAGTTTTCGTTTTTTAAATCGTTTTATCTCAAAACTAAAAAATGTGGAGATAGAACAAGATAATTCTAACGTCGCGAAATATAATCGGCAGGACTTCCAGAAAATCATACGATCTTATCATGAAGCCCTTTACAATATCAAATATAATAATAATAATAACAATAAAATCAAATTAACCAATAAAAATAAATCAGCATAAACTATATATAACTGTGCATTTAAACTAAAAATATACTAGATAAATTATATGAAATATATGAAACAAAAGAACTAAAAACAAGAAAAAATATTTTCTGCTGAAAAGATAACTACTTTTAATTTTCGTTTGAAAGAAGTTAAAGTCTATTTCAATGACAAATCCAAATTTTGCAAAACTATTTTATTTCATAAATAAAAACCGCGATAAGAAATAATTAGTTATTCAAATTTATTTTGCCAGAAAGGTTCTTGTAGATTTTTTTCACGGTTAAAATTGTATTTGTTTATGGGTTTTACATTATAAAGGTTTATAAATACATCAAGAGATAAATGATTTTTACATTTAAACATGTAATATAAAATATAAATATAAACAAATATTGATTAAGTCATTGCTTTATCCAATTTTTTGACAAAATAAATATCTTTAAAATCAATTATCAGTTTGATGACTTTTTGGATGCAATTTAAATTTCTATAAAATGATTTAATGACTTAACAGTAGCCAACCCTGGGTTCTAGAGTATTAGGAACACATATTTTTAATAGCTTTTAGTGAATAAAAAGTAGTTGCTAGGGGCGTTGCTATGGAAGTTTGAGTAGTGAGCTTATATTTAAATCAAAAATTACCTTCTGTGTTTTTTTTTTTTTTTGAATAAAACTAATTACATAGGCGTTTTTTACATAGTCCTATCGATTTTAAAACATTCACTTTGAAATTTTAAATTTTTACTATTATTTCACCCAAGTACCACCTTAATAATCATAATCACGAATAAGTAAACTGTTAACGTGACTAGAATATGTAAAAAAAAAAATCAGAGCGGAAGTAAAATTATTTATTTTACAAGTACCTGTATTATTAGCTAAATAAATGTACATTAGTGAAAGAAATGTTGTATGGGTATCTTATAGATAATTATGTATGAATGATTCAGCACAATTTAAACACAAGAAGACCCCCAGCTTTCATCCTAAACAAGAATGGTATTCCACAAGAAGTTCCACTCTGGGTGAGCACCAGAGTATCTTTTATCAAAATAGCCTTTATCTTGAAATAGACTTCTCAGGGCATCCCATCAAAACGATTTCCTGTTACCTCCGTATTAACACTGAAACTGCAAGATGATGTTCAGTACAGCATGCCGACTATTATACATGGTTAGTTGATTTGAATATAACAGTAAGAAAAATAACTGATCAAAGTATGTAATAAGAGTTGATAAGCATTGTGATATATTTACAGTTAAGGTAGTCGCATAGATGACATCTAGAAATTAGCAGCCGTGGTGCAGTGGTTAGAGTTCTGGCTCAGAACCCAGAGGTCCAAGGTTCGATGCCAGCTCTAGCCCAACAAGCGACATTGGTACGGAAGGAAAAGTGAACTTCCTGTTAAATGCTCACCCGCGGTGCTCTATGATAAGACCGCAAGGACTTCTGGGAGCACCTAAATACATACAAAAAAAAAAATTACATGTGTAATTAGTATGAGTAATAAAGTACAACTATCTTTTATTTTAGTTGGTACCGTACAACACTAGAGAAAGATGCTAGTAAACATATATGAGAAAAGTTATTTGTGTAAATTCGATGCATTTTAATCGAACTACACTGAGCAGTGGATGTCTTTAAGAATCATAATTAATTTAGAAGAGGATAGCAGAGTAATATATAATTATGAATAAACAGGTGTACAGAGGTAAATTAAAAATTGCAATAAAAAGAATAATCAAAATAACAGTAAAATTTAATAAATGCTAACAAATAATAAAGGAATGAAAATCGTATTCATGGTCATAAACAACTAAACTGTATGTACTACATGACTTATGAAGAAATATCTACTGTGGACTGGGATTATTTGTTTTATCAATGGTTAATGTAGACTAGGTAATTATGAATAAATAGATGTCAAATAGTACAACATAAATACAAGAGTATTATAGCCATATACCGGTACTCTACTAAATTATCCAATTTGGATGTGCACGAGTGTCTTTAGCAAAGTACTTTTTTGTGTTATACTAAAAAGACTTGTCCTAAGGCATCTTATCCAGATTGTTTCTGCAAGCCTCCACACAAGTACTAGGACTTCTTTAGGAAAGCTAAGCTTTTTTAAGAGAAAATAAAAAAACAATTGTAAACTGAAAAAAGAAACGCAATCTTAACAAATAAGAAAGAAAATTATAGGTTGCAAATTTTATATGCTCATAATTTTTGAACACTGAGAAATTTATACTATGAAACTTAAATATTTCATCAACTTTTGTGAGTTGCTCTCACGATTGGGGCAGGGGGGCTAAAATTTTAAGGTTATTTTGTTCCCAGGCTCCAATCATTGCCATTTTTTGCAAAGCATCCTTATTTGACATAAGTATAAACATATAAATGTTTGGAGTTTGCTCCATGTCTGAAAGTTAGATATCTCGAAGACCAAAAAAATTCTTCCGTCACCCCTAATTAATCGTATTGAAATTTTTTATGTTCATTATTTTTACAACGTTAAATGGTATTTATAAGTAGTTTTATAAAAATATGCCAATGTAATGTTAAAGTTAATTTAAGTTAAATTTTAATACAGCAGAAATTATATATATACTTTAATTTTTTTTGTCTTAGGTGTTCAAAGAAGACCTAACGGTCTTGTCATAAAAAAACGCAGAAGAGTTTTCAACTAGAAAGTTTACGCTTTCTTCTTTGCAAATGGTGTGAAATATATTGAGAACTCTCTTCGAACCCTGGATCTCTTGCTTTTAAAGCAAGCACTATAACATTAGACGCTCTAATGTTATAACCAATGATAACAGTGTCGCCAATTTATAAAACTCTCTACAAAATTGATTGACCAAT